GGAGGGATCCGAGGGGTGGGTTCTGGGGTGGGTTTCCCCGGGATCCCGGCGGGGGTGGATCCCGCGGGGGTGGATCCCACGAGTGGATCCCGCGCCGTTCCCAGCAGGATCCACAAGAACATGCTGCTGGACCTGACCAGGGAGCTGATGAAGGAGCTCGGCATCACCGCCGTGGGCGACGTCATCGCCATCCTGCGCCACGCCAAGGTGGTGCACAGGCAGGTGCGGGATCCACCCCCGGGATCCACCCCCGGGATCCGCCCCCGGGATCCACCCCCGGGCTCCAGGAGAAACCGATCCCCGTTCCCCCGCAGGAAATGTGCCGGGCGGCCTCGGAGTCGCTGCAGCCGGAGGCCGAGCGGGGCCCGGGGGGATCCTGGCGGGATCGGGAGGATCGGGATCAGGATCGGGATCAGGAGCGGGATCAGGAGCGGGATCAGCGGGATCGGGCGTGCGCGGCCGCGGGCAGGATGATCAGCCACAGCCTGCGGCGGGAGCCCCGACAGCCCCGCGGGACCCCCGGCACCGGGATCTGCGTCACCGTCCCCAACGGCGCCGACGGTACCCGGAGGGGACGGGATCCGCTCGGGGATCCGCTCGGGGATCCGCTCGGGGATCCGCTCGGGGCGCTGAGGGGGGCAGGGAGATGCTCGGGGGGGGAGCTGGGGGTGATCCAGAGGGAGCTGGGATCCATCCGGGGGGATCGGGGAGGAGCAGGGATCGATCCAAGGGGGATCAGGGAGGATCCAGGGGGATCAGGAAGGAGCAAGGATCAATCCAAGGGGGATCAAGGATGGATCCAGAGAGTTGAGGGATGGATCCGGGGGGATCAGGGAGAATCCAGCGGGATCAGGGAGGATCAGGGATGGATCCAGGGGGATCAGGAATCAATCCAGGGGGATCTGGGAGCTCAGGGAGGGATCCAGGGGGGTCAGGGAGGATCCAGGGGGATCAGGAAGGAGCAAGGATCAATCCAAGGGGGATCAAGGATGGATCCAGAGAGTTGAGGGATGGATCCGGGGGGATCAGGGAGAATCCAGCGGGATCAGGGAGGATCAGGGATGGATCCAGGGGGATCAGGAATCAATCCAGGGGGATCAGGGAGGATCAGGAGCTGCTCCAGCCTCTGGGATCCCCCAGGATCCCCGTCCCTCCCCGCAGGCCCCGGGGCGCAGGCGGGGCCGGGCCGGCGGCGCCGCGTCACGGCCGAGATGGAAGGGAAGTACCGGATCTCCCTGCCCAAGGGATCCACCGCCCGCAGCCGCAGGATCCTGCAGCTCCAGGCGGCCTCAGGTACCGGCAACGGCGGCGGGATCCCGGAATTCCCGGTCCTGGGAGAGGGGGATCCCGGAATTCCCGGTCCTGGGAGAGGGGGATCCCGGAATTCCCGGTTCTGGGGAAGGGGGGATCCCGGAATTCCCGGTTCTGGGAG